TCAAATCGAGGTGGTGAGTATCTCTCTAACGAATTCAAAGACTACTTAAAGGTCAATGGGATAGTATCACATCTAGCTCCTCCTGCTACACCACAGCTAAACGGTGTGTCAGAGAGGAGGAACCAGACTTTATTGGATATGGTCCGATCACTTCTCGTACACTCAAAGTTACCCACATCCTTTTGGGATTACACATTAGAGACTGCGATATACGTGTTGAACCGGGTTCCAACCAAATCAGTTTCGAAGACTCCATATGAGCTTTGGATCAGTAAGAAACCAAGTGTGAGACACTTGAAGATTTAGGGTTGTCTGGCACATGTTAAAAGAACGAGTGCGGACAAATTGGAATCCAAGACCAGTCGTTGCCTATTCATAGGCTACCCCAAAGGCTCTATGGGTTACTTATTCTATGACCCAGGAGAACAGAAAGTATTCTGTAGTCGAAATGCCCATTTCTTAGAAGATGATTACATCCTAAACAATCATCGTCAAGAAGTTGTTCTTGATAAGGAGAGCTCAGGGGTAGTGGGAGATGTCCCACAAGCTCCAGTTAATGAGCAACCTAGAAGATCTACCCGGATTTTCAGGCCTCTAGTTCATTTCAGCTATGACCAAGAAAGTTACTTGGTGGAAGCCACGACCAGTGAGGAGGATCTTGTGACTTATACGGAAGCTATGTTGGACATAGATTCCTTGAAGTTGGTAGATGCCATGAGAGCTGAGATGGACTCAATGGAGACCAATGAAGTCTGGACTCTAGTAGATCCGCCCCCTGGGGTAAAAGCAATTGGTTGCAAATGGATATATAAGAAGAAGAAGGGCCCCGATGGTAAGGTTGAGACCTACAAAGCTCGTCTTGTGGCAAAAGGGTACACTTAGAAAGAAGGAATCGATTATGAGGAAACCTTTTCGCCAGTGGCCATGCTTAAATCCATTAGGATCCTGCTAGTTGTAGCAGCGTACCATGATTATGAGATTTGGCAAATGGATGTCAAAACTGCGTTCCTGAATGGAGATCTTAGTGAAGATATCTATATGCAGCAATCGCAAGGTTTCATAGCTGCGGGTCAGGAACACATGGTATGTAAACTTAACCGATCCATATATGGACTTAAGCAAGCTTCTAGGAGTTGAAACATCCAGTTTGACTCTACCGTCAAACAATTTGACTTTGAGCAAAATCCAGATGAGCCATGTGTTTACAGGAAATCCAGTGGGGATAAGGTTGCATTCCTAGTTCTGTATGTAGATGACATTCTACTCATTGGGAATGATGTAGGAATGTTGACTATGGTGAAAGTGTGGCTTTCACAGCAATTCTCCATGAAAGATCTTGGAGAAGCCTCCTATATACTGGGTCTTCGGCTCTATAGAGATAGATCGAAGAGGATAATAGGATTATCACAATCAGCTTACATTGATAAAATAGTCAAGAGATACAGCATGGAGAACTCCAAGAAATGAAATGTTCCTTTCAAGCATAGAGTCACTCTCTACAAGGTATGTCTCCCAAGACTCCCAAAGAGATTGAGGGAATGAAGGACGTTCCCTATGCCTCAGCCATAGGGAGCATCATGTATGCCATGTTGTGCACTCGTCCTGACATCTCTCAAGCAGTGAGTGTGGTAAGCAGATTTCAGTCAAACCCAGGGCAGAAGCATTGGACTGTTGTGAAAAACATACTAAAATACCTTCGAAGAACAAAAGAATTTTGTCTAGTATTCGATGGTAGTTCACTACAGATCCAGGGGTATACTGATGCCGACTTTCAGTCAGATCCAGATGATAGAAAGTCTACACCTGGTTATGTTTTCACAATAGGATCGTGTGTTGTTTGCTAGAAAAGCAGCAAACAGGGGTCCACGGCGGATTCCACAACCGAAGCCGAATACATTGTCACAAGTGAAGCTGCCAAAGAAGCCGTATGGATGAAGAAGTTCATTCACGAATTGGGAGTAGTTCCATCCAGTACATCACCCATTCCATTGTTGTGTGACAACACTGGAGCCATTACTCAGGCTAAGGAGCCACGAGCCCACTCGAAGTCAAAGCACATCGAGAGGAAATACCATGTACTGCGGGAGATAGTTGGAAGAGAGGACGCCCTAATTTAGAAGGTAGCATCAACGAAAAATGTAGTAGACCAACTGACTGCTTCTGATTTAAGGCTATAAATATAGGAGCAGGGCGAGCCTCTAGTTCATCCATCAGTCTATTGATTTAAGAGAGAGGACAGCATCAGTTTGATTGCTTCTGTCTTCTGCTCTTGCTCTCTCCTGCTCCTGCCGCCATACCAGTTTGATCTCCACCTATGGGAGCGATCAAGAAGTGTTCTTGATATTACCTTTTGGCAAAAAAAGTAATCAGAAGTCGTGCTCATTAGCCCTCCATCAGATTATTGCTGAAGAATCAGGTTCTTGCTGAAGAGCCATCCTGCTGATTCTGCTTCATCCTGCACCGTATCATCTTCAGTGGAAGCAGTCTTTGGATCTATCCTTGGGCATGAACACCTTCATTGGAGGTTATTGTTACTTCGTATCAAGTATAACCCTCCACTCCATTTTTGGTTTCAGATCTGGTCTGGTTTAGGTTCAAGATTGATCCTTGAAAGTGCAGTTTTCTAAAATAGGGAATGTGATTCCCACGTGGGAGAGAGAGAAATTTTTGAAATTTCGCCCAAGCTTCCTGCAAGGTTCGGCCATCCATATGATGGATCTCTCATCCCTTCACGTGTCAAGTGCTAAGACAGTTTAGGGGCAATGCATATGAAATTGAGCTAGTAGATGATTTGTCCATTTCACCCATTTTTAATGTAGTAAACCTCTTTGATTACTATGGAGATCTAGAACCAGCAGCAAAGGTCGAGCAAGGACAAGCACAAAGGGCTAGTAATTCTAGTGAGTTTGAACAAGTAGAAGGTGTAGAAAATGTTTGACTCACCGACACTCGAAGTGGGGCCTATTTTAGGTTCTTGGTCAAGTGGAAAGGAAAACCAACAATTCAGAACTCTTGTATTAGTGAAGAGGAGTTTATGGAACTAGATGGAGACATGTGCAATGTTGCTAAAATTGTTGCTCACACAGGGCCGATCTCTTTAATCTGGTGGGAATGATGAAACCAAAAAAAGCCCAAAATGAAAGAAATAAAAAGAAAAAAAAGGAAAAAAATGTGAATGTGTTCTATTTTGTAGTTTTTTGTAATAGGATCCCAAAATGTTGTTTTTAGGTATCTTTGTTGATAATTTGGGTTCAGGGGTATTTTTGTCATTTTATAATTTAGATTCTAGTTAGAGGCAATTGGATGCACATCTGTTAGGTTTTGGTCTCTTAGGTCTTTTGTAACAAAAAGTTATTTTTTGGGGGTTTGTTTGAAGTTAGCTTTGTTCTTAAGGTTGCATTTGGTTGCAATGCAAAGTTATTTGTACTAATGTAAAATTATGGTAATGCATCATTTGGGTGCAAATTTTGATTTATTTTGTGTTTCAAATTTTACCTTATTTTGTTTCATTGCAATATAAATGAAGTAAAATAAGACATGAAGCAGAAGAAAGTAAAATCCAAACCAAAATCAAACCACAATTTGCATTCTTTTCATTTGCACTCCCATGCATTTGTACTAACGCAAATGAAATTGCACTATAACCAAACACAACCTAAGGAGTTGCTTGTGAAAGGGAAACATTCTAAGGGCTCATCTATAAATATTGTAATTGGCTTCTCCAATAAGCCATTGAATCTTATAAAAGAGAAGGGGGTTATTTTTGTAATGGTCTTTTTTTTTGTTCTTTCTCTCTTATTTGAGTTGTAGTTCAGCCCCAGTTAGGGTTTTCTAGTATTGAGAGCTTGGGTTTTGAGGAATCGATCCATTTTGGCACCTTTCAATCCCTCTATCGTTGTGTATCGGTGTGTGAGATCAGCTTGATGCCATTATTACTATAGTGAAACTATTCCATAAGGAGTTCTATGGGTTTAGGTCTAAGTCCCTAAAAATCCAACTTGTTTTATTATTTTCAACTTAGTATCTCTTGTGCTTATTTTTGTACACTTAAAAAGAGATGCATGTAATTTGTTGTTCTATCTACACAAATGCAAATCACACGGGTTGGGTGGTTAAACAATGAAAGAAGAGATGAACCACTGCTTCATTTGCGGAAAGGCATAATAGACAACAAGCATCAAGACAAGGCAATCATTTATTGAGGGAGTCAAGAACAGACAATGCTCCTACCAAGTATCTCCAAGCAAACTATATACGCTCGAGGCGAAGGAATGTTCAATCTCCATTACAGGTCCCAACCAATATTAGTAGTAGCATATAGTTGGCTGGAAGAAGTCTGGTCAGAGATCAAGGTCCTGTAGGCTGATGAAGAGCAGGTGAAGCAGTCATGCTTCGTTGGCAACCATAATAACTCATCATCTAGATGCAGATCTGGGTGAGACTCTCTAATTTGAAGAATAGCAGATATCTATATGTTCTAAAATGCAGTTTCCACGTCAGAGGTGATATTGCTTCTCAACCCTTTTCAGAATTTTGTGTTTTTTTTTAATTTTTAAAATATAAAGTTAAATATAGGGCTATTTAATCGAGTCCGGATCTCCTGTCCACATAAACGCTATTCATGTCTACCCACATAACATCGCAGTCACACATGGAGAATATCTTATCCTCCTACATAATATTATGCAGGGGAAGATGTTCCCAATTCACAGGAGTAATTTGTTGTGCGTAAACATGGGCAGAGTTCTCGTGGGCAGGAGATCCAGAGTCTATTTAATCTCACCATGTCACCCACAACCGTTTGGTTAAGAAACTGAATGCTCACCATGTCTATTATCTATTCGGTATTCTTTAGCAAGGAATTGGCAGTAATTCTCTTTCTTTCTAGTAACTAAAAATTTTATTAGAAGCCTGCACACAGAACTAATAGTTTCCAAATGTCAAACAGGTAACAATAGTGAAAAGGGAAGTCTACATTAAAAGATATATGGACATCTAACCTTTCCCAAAACAAGCTCCCCTGAAGGAAGAAGGACAACCAAAGGTGCTTGAATCCGCCCTGAAGGGAATACCTCAGACACCATCCCATTCGTGGTGTTCAGTATCATATATGCCCTTCTAATCCCCAAGCATATATTCTCACCACACCAAGAAATTGACTTCACTGAATCAGGAACTCCAAACTCATGCAACTCCACAAAGTCCCTTGCCGCTAACAAACAGGCAACCAAGGTCAATTTGTTAGGGGCACATAAAATACCAAGCATGATCAACCTAAATCCAATTACTCAAAACCAAATCAAGTTCCAACAACCCTCCCAAGGTTTCAACAGGTTCGGTCCATGCAAACCCCAAATACATGCATCAGATTTGGGCCTTGATGGATCCAGGTAGTGCAAGGGTTTCAGGCCTAGCCAACCAAATAAATGTTACTAATTGGTCCATGAAAATTGACAATTTCTTATGCAAAAGAAGTATCAACTAAAGTTTTCTTATGCATGCATTTAAAACAAGAGGGAAAGAAAGTTGACTTACCCATGTTTCCTGGTGGATTTCAAATTAAGGACCCAAATTGTTTGTTGGTGTAGCTCTTACTAGTTGGTCCAGGTTATTGTAAATTGTAAATCTAAAGAGAATGGAGCACAGGGGTAGTTCTATTTTTTACATGGTTTTAAACATTTTAATATAACCCAGGATGGGGCCACCATAGACAAGGTTTAAATTGTTGGTGTCAGTAGAAATGTCAATCAACCAAATACATGAAATATGTCAGAAATGTAGGAAATGCCACATGAAAATATTATAAAAATTATAGACATAGTGGAAACATTGTGAATATGCAAAAACATAGAATGTTATTTCATGTTATGATAAAAGATGCATGAATAGACCCTTTTAAATTATTATCTTGTTCCAAATCATCAAGAGTTTTGAGCTAGCTCAAAGTGATAATCATGACCATTAGGTGGCCAATAACACTGCTACTCCACATATCAAAATTATTGTCACCAATTTATATTAGAATACTATCTATTGTATTCCACATAGCACTAGTAGCTTTTATTAAGGAATATGCCAATTTCAATAAAATTTCATGTTGGTACTTATAGAAATAGAATGAGAAATGATTTAAGCACCCATAATTCAACAGTGGATATGGCTTTAAATAGAACAGAATGGACAAACAAGATTCATATAGCCAACCCCATATAGTGAGGATAAGGATTGTAGTGAAAGTGTGGAACTAATCTATGTGTAAGACAATATATGCCCTCAAGATCCAATGGTTGATGTAAACTAATTTTATTATGAAGAAAACTTTAATTTCTTATACAATTGCATGTGTTATTGAGTATGTTGCTATGTAATAACCCTTGATTTGCTTTATAGAAATATGATAATCATGACAATGGTTGAAGAAAATCATAATTGGTATGTAAACTAAATGTTCTCAACCAGTGAATAAAACTAAGCAGTTTATTCTAACAATGTTGACACACTTATATTTATCTTATGAGAAAGAGTGGTTTGTCTCAACCACTAGGGTGAGACCTAAGGTGTAAGTATGGGTGTTTGTGAAACAATGAACTGGACCATTCCAAATAATTCCTAGACTATATAATTGGTGGAATATCTGGATAGTTGCATATAGTCCTCAAACTTGATAATGGTACTCTATTACATGTTAAACTTGTTTACCTTTGATGTGCCAACCAATGGGGTCCTTTTGGGGTCATATCTAGGTATGTTATATGTTAGAGAAAATAAAGATGGGATTGTGGCAAGTGATAATTGTGAATTTGTCACTCAATCAAACAAAAAGAAAACCCCTAGATATGTCTTCTCTAATGGATATCTGAATCTGCCAGCATTGGATTTCAAATTGGTTTGAAATTGGTTTTGTAAAATGTATTTATATTACTAAATAATTTATTTTCTAAATGAGTTTGCTAATCATTTTTTTCAGGATTTCATCATGATACAAGACATAACACTGGTTTTACAATGTAGGGAGTAAGTCCTTCCCTTGGCTACAATCTTCTTCATCATTTTTTTGAACTAAAACAGGGTTCTGCCCCTTCTTGTCCATCATTTACGAGGTTTTTATTTCATGTTTTCTTTCTTCTCAGACAAGAATAGGACTCTGCCCTTCTATTACTTTTATTTTAATGGCGAAAATAGGGGTCCATACCCTTTTTGTTCTATTTAGTTTTTTAGGCTTTAAGTGACACCTAGGTGACCAGGTGACTAAGTGCTCCCTATCGCCTAGGTTTGCTTTGACGCCTTGAAACATATATGTAAATCTCCATTACTCATCAAGATGGAGTAAACTACCTAAAATGAGCCAAGTTTGTTCAATTGTCTATGGGTGGTTGTGTAAAATTATGTTATTTAACAATAAAGACTACTAAACCTAATGATGATGAACCAGATCAAGCGAGATTGGAACAATAGAATTATTTAATAATGTTATGGCTACTATCTTCTATGCAACCAAGTTTGAGGAAAAATTCTATGTGCATTGAAACTACTAAGGAGATTGGGATCAAATTCAGTTTGCCTATGCTGAACAACAATGTTTTGCCCTGTATCAGCTACAAGTTGGACATTCTTCATATGGTTAAGGAGAAAAATGCCTCTTTTCTTACTATTCCACCCTTACCTCTATGTGAAAGGAGATGGATTATTATCAAGCCACCTATTGGGAATGCAAGAAGGATTCTGTTGCCTACCAAAAATTAATATCCCACAACAAGCATTCACTTTCTTAACTGGTCTTAGTAAGTAAATGAACCTATTAGAGTTCATATCTTAAGAAATAAGGAGCTTCCTACACAAGAAGTATATTCCTTTGAATAGTCTAAAGAAAGTAAACGGACTGCAATGAATCCTAGTAAGGAGGAACAAGTAGCCCTGCCTATATGTAGAGGTGGCAAGAAAATGGATATGAACAAGATGACGATAAAGATAAGCTATGGTGCATGCATTGCAAAAAAATGCCCCACGCCAATGATAAAATATATGGGGACCACACTGAGAGGTTGAATGGCTATGAGCCCACACTAATGTCAATTAATCCTATCTCACTAAGGAGACAAGTTGCCATCTTGTAAAAACAAACCTCATAAGAAATTCAATGTACTACTTAATGTTATTCATTCAAAACATGATTCGGCTAATCCTTTCTGTAGCACTTTGAGCTTCAAGCATGTTTCAGCTAACTTCTAAGTCGATCCGAGAGCATTCTTAGATTTTTACAAAAGTTTGGATCTCTAGGATCCAAGACCATAGGTACATAGAGACAAAAAATCCAAATCTGATGACACCCAGATAACCCAAATCCAACACCGTTTATCCATTCATCTTAAAACTCGAAGCTGAAGCTAATTTCGATCATTCAATCGGTATCATTTTGATCCTAAATCTTATCTCAAATCAATTCAGAAATCCAACACCACAAGTGCATAGAGCCAAAAAATCAAAATCCGATGATACCAATATCACCCAAATCTAATACTGTTTATCCATTCGTCTTAAGACCCGAAGATGAAATTGATTTTGGTTGTTCGATCGGGATCATTTTGATCCAAAACCTTATCTCAGTCAAATCAGAAATCCAACACTATAGGTACATAGAGCCCAAAAATCCAAATCCAATGACACCAATATCACCCAAATCCGATATCGTTTACCCCTTTATCGTAAGACTCAAATTTGGAATCGATTCCAATCGCCTGATTGGGATCATTTTGATCATGAACCTAAACTCAAGTCAAATCAGAAACCCAACACCATAGGCACGTACATTCCAAAATTCCAAATCCGTGATGACTCCTAGATCACCTAAGTCAAATATTGTTTACCCCTTCATCTTAAGACCCAAAGTCAAAATCGATTTCAATCGTCCAATCGGGGTCATTTTGCTCCTAAATGTCATTTCACATCAAGTTAGAAATCTAACACCATAGGCACGTAGAGCCCAAAATTCCAAATCTGACAACACTAAGATCACCCAAATCTGACTCCATTTACCTCTTCTTCTTAAGACCCAAAGCCGAAATCGATTATGATCATCCGATCGGGATCTTTTTGATCCTGAACCTTATCATACATTAAATAAAAAATTCAACACCATAAGCACATAAATCCTACAATTCCAAATGCAACAACACCAAGATCACCCACATCTAACACCGTTTACCCCTTCATCTAAAGACCCAAAGCTATAATCAATTTCGATGGTCCAATCAAGATCATTTTTATCCTGAACCATATCTCATAAGAAATCAAAAACTCAACCCAATAGATGCATAGAATTCAAAATTATGAATCCAATGATACTAAGATCATCCAATTCCAACACCGTTAACCCCTTAATCTTGAGACTCGAAGCTAAACTCAACCCAAACCCTCCATTTGGAATCTTATTCACTACAACTTCAAACCTTGGGACCCACGACCATATCTTTCTCCCAACCTCTAGAACCATATTAAAATTTGAAATTAACCAACTAAGGAGACTCTAATCAATTAAGCCAATCACCTAAATTTGGAATATTCAATTTAGGCAAATTAGTGAAATTTTCTACTTTTATCTTTATTGATTGAGAGTATCTCTCCCAAAGCTGTCTTGACAATCCTTCCCTCGATCAATATCCCTCCAAAAATATTTTAAATCTCATCTATTGATCTCTCCAACCTCAAATCTTGACTCTCCACTCCTTTCTGGAATCCTCCCCAAAACTCTATAAATACCCACCCCTTCTCACATACGAAGACACACGTTCTAGCCTAAATACATTCTAACCTTGGGGGCACACATCCAAGAGTCTCTCCCCACCATCCGTCACATCACTAGTCCCCCATATCAATATTACAATCCAAGAAACCCTCAAGTCGTACAAAATATCAAGTAAAAAGGCCAAAAATCAAGTAAAAAAGCATTCTTAAACTGAGAATGGTGCAGTAGAGCATATAAACAACTAGCAATCTTTCTCTCATCACTTGGGCAATATCCATAGTTACATAAACATCTGAGGACAGTCTCAAGAATAAAGGGAGACCGAATCAGCCCCCCACATAATTGCTCCCCACAAACTCAATACACGACCGGAATGTGCTGTGGGACGTTGTGGGGGCAATCTCGTGGGTAGCTGATTTGAACTCGAATAAAGGATGTCTCTATGAGCTTGATGCCAACTTTGTGAACGT